CTCCCTGCTTCCTTGTAGGCCCCCTCCAGGTACTGGAAGGTTGCAATAAGGTCTCCCTAGAGCCTTCTCTTCTCCAGGCTGAACAAGCCCAACTCTCTCAGCCTTTCTTTCACATAGGAGAATTGGTCCAGCCCTCTGACCATCTTTGTGGCCCTCCTCTGGACTCCCTCCAACCGGTCAATATCCTTATGTTGGGGACCCTAGAGCTGAACACAGTACTCAAGGTGGGGTCTCAAGACAGCAGTGTGCAGGTCGCCTCCCTCGACCTGCTGGCCAGGCTTCTCTGGATACAGCCCAGGATACAGTTGGCCTTCTAGGCTGTTAGCACACACTGCTGGCTCATGTCCAGCTGTTTGTTCCCCAGTACCCCCAAGTCCTTCAGGGCTGCTCTCAATCTATTCTCTGCCCAGCCTGTACTTGTATTTGGGTTTGCCCTGACTCAGATGCAGGACCTTACACCTGGCCTTGTTGAATTTCATGCGGTTGGCAGTGGCCTGCCTGTCCAGGTCCCTGTGGATGGCATCCCTTCCCTCCAGTGTGTTGACTGGACCACACGACTTGGTGTCATTGGCAAACTTTCTGAGGGTGTACTCAATCCCACCATCCATGTCACTGACAAAGATGTTAAACAGTCCCGATACTGATCCCTACTCATCACTGCTCTCCTCTCAGACTTCGAGCTGTTGAGCACAACTCTGAGTGCAACCATCAAGCCAGTTCTTTATCCACCGTCCATCCATCAAATCCATGTGTCTCCAATTTAGAGACAAGGATGTCATGTGGGACAGTATCAAACGCTTTGCAAAAGTCCAGGTAGATGACATAGGTTTCCCATTCTTTATCCACCAAAGTTATGACCCCATCATAGAAGGCCACCATATTAGTCAGGCACAAACTGCCCTTGGTGAAGCCATGTTGGCTGTCACCAATCACCTCCTCATTTTCCACATGCCTTAGCATTGTTTCCAGGAGGAAACCATGGTATGTTTTTTGGGTAAAGTTCTGTGACACTGCCTGTAATAAATGCTGGTTGCTTACAAGAGCAAGAAATAAATTGATATTTTCTGCTCTGAAGAACTAAAATTCAGCATATTGAAGTATTTAAATTATTGCATGGCTGCCTGCATCACTGATATAAAGAAACTGCAGCAATGTAGCCAACAAACCTTTAATAAAAGCACCATGTTGGTTATAGTCCACCAGAATCAAAGCAGTTTGGGACTGCAGTGTCTTGTTAAACACATTGTATATGTGTTTGACAAGAAGCCTGGCCAAATCCAATCACCTCTGGACAACCAGCATGTCAGAGCATTTCCAAGTGAGATATATTATCCTGTCCTGGACTGATAGCTTTGGATAATCCTCTGATTGAAATGACTGCTTAAATGTTGCAGCCTAGTTAGTTTTGCTCAGTCTAGGATGATTTGGTGCTCTGGTGAGGTCAGAGTGATTGGTGTGGTTTTTTTGGGGGGGGGGGGGGGGGGGTTTTTTTTTTTTTTTTTTGGGGGGTGTTTTTTTTTTTTTTTTTAAAGAAGGGACTGCAACTATATAAATGAATTTAATGCCAGCTGTCTAGGGTCCAGGCTGGATTTACGGTGGTAATTTCCTAATGCTGTATTGCTCTGTTAGAGACAGCTCCTGAGTTCTGTTTTTCCCCTGACCTGTGGGAGTTTTGCTGAGGCTGTTGACAAGAAGGTGGCTTGAAGAAGGTGTTTGTTTTGCTCTGAGGACATTTAAGCTTTTGCTTATCCTTGTGTTAGACAGTAGACTCTAGTCACAGACTGCTTACGTTCTGCATATATGTCTTGTGCTCCCACTGCCATTGCTACCTCCTTACAATGGGACCAGATTCTCACGCTCTATAGATACATGCAGTAACTGGGGAACAATCGGGAAGTATTTTACTTTAGCTGTCTGTGTGATGGAAGAGCAAAGCTGTTTTCTAAGCACTCTTGAACTGCAAAAAATTGGTAAGATAAAAGGCCTGCTTGGAGGATGATGTGGAGCAGAGCATTTCAGCCAAGAAGGCTGTCCAGTTATTGCTCATAAAATGGCATTTCATAAGAATTGTTGATTTTTTTTTTTTTGTTGTTGTTTTGAGATTTGTGGAGAAAGTCAGGTAACTGGGGCAATGCTTCAGAGTCTCTGTCTGTTTCCTGCCCTCTCACTTCTACCAAGAGGACCGAGAGGGGCTGATGTCCCTTGCACCTGGTGTGCCAGTGGACCAAAGCCCTGCCCTGGGGAGAGTGAGATTTGCCCAGAGCCTGCTCATACCTGGGATAGCTGAAACCTGCTCTTCCTCTTGTCTGAGTTCTTGGGTGGCTACATGCTTGTTTAATCCCCTCTGTCATCGGTCAAGGAAAGTTACCATTTGGGCCCACAAGTGAGAATTCTAAGAAATAAAAGATTAATTGCCTTCACTTCCACACACACCCCCTCCCCCCCAGCTACAGTCTTTATTGTTCTGAGAATGGAGAGAGTCCTTCCCTCCTTCCTCCAAGAATTACAACCGTTTTTTGTTTTGTTTGTCTCTTACAGATCAATTTTGTAGCCTGTCAACTCTTTGCACTTTTGGCTGCATTTTGGTTTCGTATTTACTTGGGTCCCAGTCATGCCAGCTCTGCTGTTCGCCATGTATTTGCCACCCTCTTTGGAATATACTTTGCTGTCTTCTGCTTTGGGTGGTGAGTATTTAGTCACCATGTAGACAAGATTTGGGTAAAAATATTTTTAAACTTCATGTCACCTGTTCTGGATTACATGGTTTTTGTCTTGAGGAACTTTCAGTTATCCTTAAAAAAAATCCTAACCAGCATAACCATCCAAAGCCCTCAAAGTAAAATGAGCCATGAAAGTATTTGTCCATGAAGTATTTTCTGTGATGTTTGTTCTGGAAGTTAAAGCCACACCAGTATGCTGTGAAGATACCTTTTTTGGAAAGGATGTATCCAGTTTGAATGTGCACTTTGAGCCAGGCTGCTCTTTCTCTTAATGGAACACATTGACACACTCTTGTCAGTAAGTATTAATCCATCTTGGATATTCAGGCTATAGATGTTATTGTGATAATCCATGTTTTCTGATACAACATTGCATTTATGTCATTTGCGTGGAAAAATGTTCCCTCAGTCTGAACTGCCAGCCCTTCCGTATCGTGTAGAAATTATCTAAATACTCTTTGTTGTCTTCAAGGTATTCCATTCATCTTTTTGTCCTGGTGATGATGAACTATGGCATTATGAATATGGCAAGTATTCCCAACATCCACAGGTGAGCTGATATGGCTGCTGCTCTGACAACTTCTCTCCTTTCATGGAAAAGCATGAGAGTTTTTTAGGACCATCTTATCTTCTTTCCTGCTTTTCTTTCCCAGTTATTTGCAGGAGCTTTGTTCATTCAGTTACAGAAGCAGCTGTAATCTCAATTTGTGGCTTTTGCATTGATATATTGCTTTTCCTTATGAAATTGCTGGCCTCAAAAGTTGGCTTTTGCAGCTTAATAATTTATGTCCAAACCCCTGGTTTCTTAAGTATAGTGATCTCTTTCTCCTTCATCTTGTGTCCTTGAGAATCACTTTTGATAATCCTTTTTCATGTGTTTTCCCCCTTGCTGTTTGGCCTTTAGGTGTATTCCACTTATTCTTGAGTTAGGTAGTTCAAATAAGGTCACTGTGGCAGCTTATGTTGGTGATCTACAAAATTGTCTCGCGTTTGGTATTGGGCTTTGAGGTAGAAAGTACCAGAAACGTCATGGCTTTGAAGCAGAAGCTTATGGCATCATCATGAGGCGTTCTTCACCATGGGATCCTTCTTTTCCCTATGTGAATGTCTCAGAGGAAGGAAGACACCTAAGATTCCTAAAGTGCTTTGTCATATGTGTGCCTTCCTTGCCAAAAGAAAAAAAGCGCTTTCATATGGAAATGAAAACTACATGGTAGTTATATCTGCTTCTTTGACTGAGTAAGAGGAAATTCATGTGGAAGAGCTTCTCTGCTCAGTCACTGAGCCTTATTGTGTGGATACCATACTCTAGAGTTCAGCACATTGGAGTTTCTAAAATTGTTCAGGTGGAGTTGTTTGCTTCCAAACGATCTGCACAAATAGGAATTTTTATTTGTAGAACTGTGACTTTATAGCGGACTAGAAGGACGAGCTGGCAGTTCTTTCCACTTCTTTGCTTTTGTGTTGGTCTCCCTAACAGAATGTGGTTAATATCATGGGTAGGTTTGGGTGTGTTAGAGGTCATTTCTGTCCCTACGCTATGTGGATATTTCTGTAGCTGCCGTTGAATGCTCACATCCACTTCAGTCTGGGCTGAGGAATGGAAACCCTTTCTTCACTTGTCTTCAAGACCAGGGTTGTCTGAGGATCTGATGCTCAGATAATCATCTCGCCTTCTTTATCAGGTCCTGACGCAACCCCTCCCTAATATCCAAATAGGAACCATCATTTATATTTCTCTAGGATTGTTTAGAAATGTGAACCATAAACAATAGGCCTGTTTATAGCAGTCACTAGTACTTTGCACCAGCAACATAGGTATTAATCAAGGAGGTTTTTTCTATTCCCTCACAGAGTGCAAAGACTACAACTTTAGAGGTAGTTAATAATTTATACTTAATAAATAATTTATAATTAACTGCTACGGACAGTATTTATGAAAGAAATGCCAGGCAGAGACCAGAAGGAAAAGGTGCTAAAAATGTATATTACTTGTCTCCTGGTCATTGTCCCTGCACATCACTTGGAGGAACTGTGGGAGTTACTGGCTGTAGATCAGAGGAACCAAGCCTACTTATGTCTTCCTAGTCAAGTTGAAGTGGTGGTAGGGAAACTGGCACATTTCAATAGACAACCCCCTCACTCTTACTCTTTAGCCAATTGGTCACAATGGGAAAAATATTAGTATACTTCAACACAAATTAAGCTGATTTAAGGCCAAACTTAGAACCACATTCAATAGCCCACCTCAAGTGCATGTACACCAATGCGTGCAGTATGGGCAACAAACAGGAGGAGCTGGAAGCCATGGTGCATCAGGATAGCTATGATAAGTTGCCATCACAGAAATGTGGTGGGATGACACTCATGACTGGAGCGCTGCAGTTAATGGCTACAAGCTCTGCAGAAGGGACAGGCAAGGGAGGAAAGGAGATGGGCTGGCCTTGTATGTTAGGGAATGTTTTGATTGTGTAAAACTCAGTGATGGGGATAATAAGGTTGACTGCTTGTGCATAAGGATGAGTGGGAAGGCCAAGAAGGCAGACATCCTGCTGGGAGTCTGTTACAGATCACCCAACCAAGATGAGGAGGCGGATTCTGCAAGCGGCTGATAGAAGTCTTGCGGTTGCTAGCCCTTGTTCTCGTGGGGGATTTTAACTTACCAGATGTCTGCTGGAAATACAACACAGCAGAGAGGAAACAGTCTAGGAGGTTCCTGGAGTGTGTGGAAGATAACTTCCTGACACAGCTGGTGAGTGAATATACTAGGGGAGGTGTTTCGCTTGACCTGCTGTTTACAAACAGAGAAGGACTGGTGGGAGGTGTGGTAGTAGGAGGCCGTCTTGGGCTTAGTGACCAGGAAATGATAGAGTTCTCAGTTCTGGAAGTAAGGAGAGGGGTCAGCAGGACTGCTACCATGTACTTCTGAAGGGCAGATTTTGGTCTATTTAGGACACTGGTTCTCAAGGACAAAGAGGTCCAGGAAGGCTGGTTGTCCTTCAAAAAGGAAGTCTTAAAGCCGCAGGAGCGGTCTGTCCCCATGTGCCATAAGACAAACTGACAGGGAAGACACCCAGCATGGCTGAACAGGGAGCTTTTGCTGAAACTCGGGGGAAAAAACAGGAGCATTTACCACTCCTGGAAGAAGGGGCAGGCAACTCAAGAAGAGTACAGGGATCTCATAAGGTCGTGCAGGGAGAAAATTAGAAAGGCTGAAGCCCAGCTGGAACTTCATCTGGACACTGTTGAGGAAAAACAACAAAAAATGTTTCTACAAATACATTGACAGCAAAAGGAGAGTCCAAGAAAATCTCCATTCCTTAATGGATGTAGAGGGAAATGTAGGGACAAAGGACGAGGAAAAGGCTGAGGTACTGAATGCTGCTTTTGCCTCAGTCTTTAATAGCCAGGCCAGTATCAGCCCTCTGAGCTGGAAGGCAGGGATGGAGAGCAAAAAAATCCCTCATAATCCAGGAGGAAACAGTTAATGACCTACTGTGCCACCTGGACACTCAAAAGTCCATGGGGCTGGATGGGATTCATCCATACTGAGGGAGTTAGTGAAGGAGCTAGCTAACCCGCTCTCCATCATTTACCAACAGTCCTGGTTAACAGGGGAGGTCCTGGAAGACTGGAGACTTGCCATTGTGACACCCATCTACAAGAAGGACCAGAAGGAGGATCCAGGGAACTACAGGCCTGTCAGCCTGACCTCAGTACCAGGGAAGATTATGGAGCGATTCATCTTGAGTGAGCTCACATGGCAGGTGCAAGACAACCAGAGGATGGGGACTAGCCAGCATGGGTTCATGAAGGGCAGGTCCTGCTTGACCAACCTATTCTCATTCTATGACTGGGTGACCCACCTAATGGATGAGGGAAAGGCTGTGGATGTTATCTACCTGGACTTTAGTAAAGCCTTAGACACAATCTCCTGCAGAATTCTCCTAAAGAAGCTGGTGGCTCATGGCTTAGGCAGATGTACTCTTCGCTGGGTTAAAAACTGGCTAGAGGGCAGAGCACAGAGGGTAGTGGTAAACGGAGTGAAGTCTGGTTGGCAGCCAGTCACAAGTGGTGTCCCCCAGGGCTCAGTTTTGGGGCCTGTCTTGTTTAACATATTTGTCAATGATCTGGATGAGGGGATTGAGTGCTCCCTCAGTAAGTTTGCAGACGACACTAAGTTGGGTGGAAGTGTTGATCTGCTGGAGGGTAGGAGAGCCCTGCAGAGGTACCTGGACAGGCTGGATTGATGGGCTAAGTTCAATTATATGAGGTTTAACAAGGCCAAGTGCCAGGTCCTTCATTTAGGTCACAGCAACCCCAGGCAGCCCTACAGGCTTGGGGAAGAGTGGCTAGAAGGCTGTCAGGCAGGAAAGGACCTGGGGGTGTTGGTTGACAGCTGGCTGAATATGAGTCAGCAGTGTGCCCAGGTGGCCAAGAATGCCAAGGGCATCCTGGTCTGTATCAGGAACAGTGTGGTCAGCAGGAGTAGGGAAGTGATTGTGCCCCTGTACTGGGCACTGGCGAAGCCACATCTCAAATCCTGTGTTCAGTTTTGGGTCCCTCACTACAAGAAGGACACAGGGATGCTGGAGCGGGTCCAGCGAAGTGGTGAAGGGTCTGGAGCACAAGTCTTAATGAGGAGTGGCTGAGGGAGCTGGGGTTGTTTAGCCTAAAGAGGAGGCTGAGGGGAGACCTGATGGCTCTCTACAGGTGCTGGTCTGTTCTTCTGGGTAACTGGTGATAGGACAAGAGGAAATGGCCTCAAGTTGCATTAGGAAAGGTTTATATTAGATATTGGGAAAAACGTCTTTACTGAAAGAGTGGTCAGGCATTGGAACATGCTGCCCAGGGAAGCGGTGGAGTCACCATCCCTGGAGGTGTTGAAGGAGCTTGTAGACATGGTGCTTGAGGACATGGTCTAGTTGGTATGGTAGTGTTGGGTTGATGGTTGGACTGGGTGATCTTACAGGTCTTTTTCAACCTTAGTGATTCTGTGATTCATTCACATAATGTTGCTCGCTGCTGCAAGAGAGTCATGTGTTGTTTTGAGTCAATGTGAAATAGCAATCCAACATGCTCAAAAACCTTAGGAGGGCTGGAGTATTGGGTTAGGATTTTTCTCCTGTATTTCACTAGCCATAGTATTGTGACTTGAAGTACATCCACATTATTAATTCTGGCAAAATAACAGTGTATTCAAGCTGCTTGAGAATAAGATTGAAAAATGCCATTTTAAGGGCTGGACATGTTCATACAGAGGACCTGTAGAACCTATAGATCTTTCATAGTGGGGCTCCGAGACTTTGCTTTTTTCCCCCCAAAGTGCTAGTGGAAGTGAACATATGAAATGAAGAAACTACATAGCTTAACCTGCATGCTCCTTTCCCTGTGTGTGGGTGTTTTGTTTATATTTTTGTCTCGTTTGCTCTCTCGTGAAGCTGCCAGCACTCATGGCCTATGAATAGACAATCTAGCATCAGAAATGCTCCCGGCTGCAGCAGCAATTCAGTGTATCCCTCCCCGCTCACCCCCCTTTCAATCTAGGTGCTTTACTCTTAAGCACTGAGACTTATTTTAGATACTACATCCCATCTATCACTGTTACATTTCTGATCTGGGTGACCTGCCTTTGGAGGGGTGTTTGCTTTTCTCCGTTGATGAGAGGGCGTCCAAGGACCTTGCTGAGGCTGGACTGGATGCCTGACCCAGATAAAACAAAATAAATTCTGCTCTGAATCTCCTGAAGAAGCGGTCATGTACCTTCAGCTTGCTTTTCATCCAGCTGTTTCCTGTGGGCCATGTGATCTGCAAGTTGTCTTGCAATCCATTACTGTCACTCACACTGTAGTTAGTCCCCAGGGAGGAAAGATTTGTTTATTTTAAAGGCAGACATGATTTGTCAAAAGCCTGGCTCATTTTCAGTTCTGCTGACTTCCTTTTGTCTGATTTCATCTTTAGTTCCCTGCCATGATCAATGCTTCCATGGGTCTCGGGGGGGCCCTGCCTGGCCCTGCCTGGCAATGTGTGTTTACCAGCTTGCTTGATCCTCCTGTGGCTCAGCTTTGCTGGGTGTGCAGTCTCATTCTGTAGGTCTCTGCATCTTCGCCCTCATGTGGCTAATTTCTGATGCAGGGGGCACCAGCAGACCTGGTTCTGGCCTGTCTGTGTGATGCAATCCTTTCATTCTGGTGTGCCAGCTCTCCATTGCACTGTCTTGTTTGCTTAATCTGTCAGTCTGTTTCCAAATATCCATCTGCTTCTTACCTCCAGAGTATCTTCTTTCTTGCTCAGGTAAATGAGGGAGAAGTTAGTTGTATGAAAGACTGCTTAGACGCCACCTAGACACTGCAACACTTCCAGTCCTCAAACTGTTCAACTATTAAGATGGAAAGAGTCGTGCCATTGCCCTGCCTAACATAGTTTTGCGATCATTTTGAAAAACAGAGTGACTTTGTCACACTCCACTTAAGGAATGCTTCTTTAGTTTGACTTGATGACCTTAAAGGTCCTTTCTAACATAAATGATTCTATGATTCTTCTGGAAGATGGTGTATTTTGGCATGTACAGCTGAAAAGATTAGGTTGTGTGTCATTATCTGCCTTTATATATAATCAGAAGAGAGAAAATATCTTAAACGTGAAATATTTTAGTTTCTCGTATATCTGAGGAAGAGTAGTACATGTGACTAAAGAAGATTTACAGATAAAAGGCAGTGGATAACTTCAGTGATAGGCATACAGTATCATCTGGTTTCATATACTATTTCAAAATAGTATGTGAGGGTGGGAACTCTGAAATTGCAATGCCTAACTTGAAGTGATGCTATTTCTTATCTTCTTTTTTTCTCTGTCCCCAGTGTGTAGAGAAACCTTCATAATGTTTCGGCTAGGTACACAAAACCATCAATCCTCTGAAGGTTTCTGCTAGATCTTGTAACATAGCTTCAAACTTGTTAAAAATCTAATTTGCAAATATCAAACTCTACCCCTAAACAAGTCCAAACCCAATCTGAGTGATTCTAGTTCTTGTTGGTACTTGTATTGGTAACTATGTGTTCTGTATGTTATGTTTTTAGGTACTCCTTTGTCGTAGCTATGGGATACCTCACGTTGTGTCACATAAGCCGAATATACATATTTCATTATGGTATTCTCACTACAGATTTTTCCGGGTGAGTGAGTCTACAAGCTGAGTCCTGTGTCAAGTAGTATTAGTTTAATTCAGTGTATTTTAAGAATAATTTTTATCTGTGGAGCTCCTGCATTTTTGTTTCACCCTCAAGCAGGCTGGGAGGATAGGTCTGCACAATCACTCGCTGGAGGAGCACTCCAGTTCTGGTGAGCTGCATGGCTGGTGTTCTGGTCCTTGGTGGGCGGCTCTCCTCCCACCTTCCTAGGCACAGCCATTGGCTCCAGGTCATCCTTTCCTCCTGAGTTATCTTGATTCCCCAACTGGGAAGGTGTTGCCCACTTCAGGAACACCAGTTGGTGGGAGGGGAGGACTTGAGCAAGGGGTGAGTAGCAGGGGGAGCTGGGAGGTGGGTGGGTAACCCAGCTAGTGAGAGGCATGAGATTGGTTTTCTCTCTGGATGCCAGTCTTTAGAGGTTCTTTCAGGGGGTCAGGTTGTGGCTGCTGTTTAAATACTGCAACTTTTTATATGCCACGCATTTCTGTAGAACAATGTTTTTCATATACACTGTAGTCTGTCTTTGATTTCACTGAAACAGTAGAAGATGCTTTGCAAAAATACGGACTGCTAACTCAATATATATTGTTTATGAGAGGAAAGTGTACTTTTGCATGATTTAAGAAGTGTGCTAACCCATATTCTACTTCTTTAATTGAATGTCTTGAATACAGAGTAATTAGTAACATACTATGAAAAACCTCTGTAAACTGGCACAGTAAGTTACAGATGCTTCTGTCTTCTTATAGGCAACTGGAGTTGTACATGTGTCTCTGTATGAGGTGGTGGTTGGTTGAAACATTTAATTGTGGGGGGAAGTTACTCTGAGACTTTTGAGTTTTTTAGTAGAGGAGGGAACAGAAATAGGAAAGCATACATTTAGAGAAATGTGATTTTTATTTTTCTTTTTTTTAATTCCCCCCACCCCCTCCCCTGTGGTTCTTTTAATACATAAAAGCATGTCCTGAAAAAGGATGACAGTCGTGGTTTAGCCTTATCTGTCAATAACGTACAACTCAGTCACTCACTCCTCTCTCCTCCCCTACCCACAGTGGAGAAGGGTTGGAGGAAAAAGCTGGAAAGCTCATAAAGTTGAGATAAGAACTATTTAATAATATACATGAAAATAAGTGATACTAACAATACTACTACCAGTAAGTAATCAAAACAATAGAAAATAGAACATATGATACATTTGCTCACCACACGCTGAACAACACATAGGAAGGTATGTCGCAGAGCAGGGAGGAAAACCTCTGACCCCTCCAACCCACTAACAAAAAAAACATCCTTTACTGCTAACAACTGCTCCAAGAGTTTACAAAAGGAGCTAACAACCAAGCTATCAAGCTAGCCCAAAGCCGTAACATCCCCTCCAGTCAACCTCCCACCTCAGAACACTGTGCATGTGCACACCCAGCCTGACCACTGATCCTGATGCACCATGGAATGAAACAAATACCTCAGCCGCTCTGGGCCAGCCAGCACTGTGTAGGAGGGGGGCTCATTCCTGCCTGAAACCAGCACAATGGCATACCAAAAAGCCTATAAATGGGATGGGAATGCTATAGTTCTGTGTATGATACAGAGAGAGAAATACCAGAGAGCATGCTTTTCTGAACAGTATGTTCAGAAATGCAATGAGGTGTATTAGCTATCTCTCTCTGAAGGCATTTAATAAAGATCCAGCTGCGACTGGAGGTGGAAGA